TGATGTTGAACTTTTTTTTTTCACATATTTGTTGACCACTCATATTTCTTCTTCTGTGCAATATCTGTTCATTTCCTTTGACAATTTGACCCAGTTATCCCACTCCAATTAAAATCAGCATACTATAGTGACACAGCAGCTATGAACTCAACCTAGGTGCCCTTCAACAGATGAATGAATAAAGAAAATATGGTACATATACAAAATGGAATATTACTCAGCCATAAAAAAGTATGAAATTATGGCATTTGCCAGTAAATGGTTGGAACTAGAGACTATCATGCTATGTGAAATAAACCAATCCCCCAAAACTAAAGGCTGAATGGTTCTCTCTGATAATGTGAATGCTGACTCACAATAGGGAGGATTGGAGGTTCACCAAATGGACAGCAGGGAATGGGGGAAGAGGGGTGGGAATGGAAAAGACAGTAAAATGAATTGGACATAAATTTCCTATATTCATAAACAAATATGACCATTATAACTCCACATCATGTACAACCACAAGAATGGGAAGTTATACTCCAATGTATGTAAGATATGTCAATACACATTCTACTGTCATATATAACTAAAAAGAGCAAAAAAGAAAAACAATTTGCTATGGATACCTCCCTTTAGTGGTTTAAAAGACCTCAAAAACTCAAACCCATCATACCCTTGGCCTTTCCTTATTTCAGGTAAAAATAATACCTGTCACCTTTTTTGAGACTTTATGTAATTTTTTTCAGTATTTAGGGTCCTTATTAAGAAAGCAAAGAATTTCCATTAAGCCTTATTTGTAGCTGTCACCCTGAGGGGGGAAAACAATACAAAACATGGGTCTACGCTGCATTATGTAACCACATCAACTCACACAACCAATCCTGCCCCTTAACAGGAACTTATTAATGGGTTGGGTTTTGCTCTGGGGATCATCAGCTTTTAATTGGATGACCATGCTCAAGAATATCAGACATCTGCTGTCATTAGAAATGTTACTCTAAGTGGTCTTTTGTTTCACATGAGTTTTTAGGTTCATTCAAAGTCACACTAAGGATACAAAGTAGAGCGCTTCGACCCGGCCCCCCATTTGTCTTAACAGTCCTGTATACTCTGTTCTGCCAACAAGGGCCATTTTTGTTTGTTCTTTCTCTGTTCCTTTCAATTATCATCATCATTGACCTGTATCTTGTGCATTATGAAAAGACGAGGGGAAAGAATATGACAAAAATCACCGTACACCGCTCAAACTGTAATTTGTTGAATCTGAAATAATAAATCTCACCTAACAAGCCACAAGTGTCAGCCTGACAAAGATTCTGGTGTTCAGTGAATATGTACAGTTGTCACCATGCTACAAAGGTAGCAGGCACCACTTCAGATGCCCAGAGACTTTAAAAATAATAATTCCTGATACTCCTAGTTCCTGACTGCATGACAAGAGGTTCTTAATATCGGTAGGCCAGGACTCTCAGCAATATACACATTAACCAAGTATATATTCTTCAATCTACCTTCTGAATAGTGAAAAAGTCAGAGAGTAGAAAATAAATGTGAGCACCTTTCCTACTCAAAGAGCACTAATGAGTTGGCCATAGATGGAATTATATAATTTAAATTGTTAAATGCAATATAAATCAGTGAAGGGTGTGTTAAAAAATCTATAATACACTATCTGATCACATTATGTCCTTTGTAGAAAAATCAGAGTTGCTTCATGTTGAATTCATTTACAACAGGTACTTTGTACATTATGAAAAGGCAGTTTTTGAGACAACCCACAAATTGCACAGTATAATGACATAGCCTGTCCAAATCATGGTTATCTAAGCAAATGAAGAAACAAGAGATATAAATCATTTCTCTTTGGAGATGACATGATTGTTCTGAATTTTAATGGCATGAGGTTTAGAACAAAAAGTCTGCTACAGACAGCGTCATGTACAATTCCTGAATTCCTCAGTTTGAAAGGGCAGGTAAAGTATGGTGATCACTAAAACTTGTACCTCAAGTTTGCCTCACCCCTCTATCAAAAGAAACTAAGGGCAATTTTCCAAAACTAAATCTATAATTTTCTGGAATCTGCCATATATCCAGAATTGTAAATGACAAGAGGCAAGCACAATAACTCAGAAAAACACACACACATAAAAAAATTATCAATGTTTGGAATCTTGATTTCTACCAAAAGAATGACAAATTTTCCTTGATTGTAAACTGAAATGAAGGGGGGAAAACCCCAATGTTTTCCTTTACAAAACAAGATTAATTTTAGTTACTCCTCTAATTTATTTGAAATCTAAGAGCTACTTGTTATTGCAACTGTTTCCTTTCATTGTATGGGTTATTATAAATCCTTCTAGAAAATCTTCAAATGGATTTCCCTACAAAATTCAAAGTTTTTCAGATTTTCTCTGAAAAAGGAAAACACATCCTTATTGTTGGCATATAAATATATACATGAGTAAAAACTAGAATTCAAAGCAAAGGCCATGAATTTATACTTTCTATAATAAAAATGAATATGAAAAGGCAAATATTTACTGGTATAAGGTGTGTGTGAGTTTATGTGTGTAAAAGAATTCGGAAGTCTGAAATACTTGGAAGCAAGAAAAATTCCACATACAAGACAGACATCCAAAATGGCTCAACATAATTTATTTTTTTTATGTTAAAATGTACAGAGTTCTTTTGAAAGTACTTGCTAGAAAGGGGGGAAAAAAAAGATATTACATACAAGGAGAGGAAGGGAGGCCAACTGGCCCAGGAGCGCATGACATGGAGAAATACAAAGGCATCTAGGCACCCCTTCCCCTTAGCTTACAAGTCACCATGAACAAAGTACAAAGAGGTTACAAAACAGGAAAAGCAAATATAAACAGACAGGAATAGACTTAGCTTCATTTGTACATGCGGCTTTTAGAGGCATCTGGAGCTCTATTCACACACTCTAAAGATCTCTTTAAAGAGAATTTTTATCTTTCTTAAAATAGTTTTTAATATTCTACAACAAAGATAAAAAATTTTAAAGATGGAATGAAATGAAAAAGCTCTTATTTTAAAAGGCATCAAAGTCACTAACAGTGAGTTTTTAAATTTCTTTTTTAGAAGATTACCCAAGTTATCTTGCTAAAAATACATTTTTTTAAAACAGAAGTGAAAAAATGACAGGTACCAATATTACTGTGTTGGATAATTTCTTTTATAATATAGAAAAGAACATTTTTTTTTCTACAATAGTCCTACAGTCACAAAGAGGCTTGTGGAAAAGGGAGCTGCCCAATTGAATTTTTTTTTTTTAAAGGAACAAAACCAAACACAACCGCAAACCAACAGAAACTGAATTCACGGCCCTCATTTCAACAGCTTCTCCTTCTGCCTTGACCGACCCACCCTCCTCCCAATATATCTCCCTCCCATCCCCACCCCATCCCCACCCCATCCCATCCAGGAAGCAATGACATAGCTGAAAATGTAGGGAGAGGGCAGCACAGTGCACTTTCTACATAGATGATTGGGAACTGGAATAGTATATACAGAGAAACTGGGTCCTACACAGCCTTGCACATGCTCAGAGTTGATAGCGGTAAGGTGTGAAATTCTGCCTTTTTCTATCTAACACACTTAATTGAGAAAGTCAATTAAAGTGTATAAAAAAACCAACAAACCTGTGCATTTGAAAAAATTTAATGCCTAATTAGTACTTTAAAAATTTATCTATATAAAATGTACAAATAAAGGAGAGAATTTATGCTTACAGATATTTCGTTAAGCAGTATTTCTCCCTTTTGGATATTTGACTGCACATACCAAGTGGTATAATAGTTTCCATCTTCTAATGATGGAATATATATATATATATATAATTTTTTTACCTATCCCTGGATGAAGTAATAGGAAGAGAATGGGTGAACTGGTTGCACAAGAGAGAAGAGAATGGATTGGGAGCAACATATGAACCTGCTAAAATCCTGCTGTCCAGATGTGCCCTACTATGCTGGTGGTAGATCTATCCCTCTTCTAATTAGCCACTCAAAGGAGAGGGGCTGGTGCACTCTGATTCACAGGCGATGAACTTAGGACATCAAAAGACAAATTAAAACTAGAGGTATGTATTAATAAGTAGTTATAAAATGTACACCATAATCTCCCTTTGGACAAACATTCTGAGTTATCTCTTCCAACATAAAATGAACAGTGTCAAAGGTTTGTCAGGTATTTTTCAAATCACTGAAACATACAGTCATCCACCAACACTGGATGAAAGATTGTTAAGAGGCAAATCACTGGGGACTGCTGTTGTTTTATCAGAGTCAAAGGCTCAAGAATCAAGACCCTTAGTTAGCATTTCAAAGTACATACTAAAAATAAGAGGCTGGATGGAATATGTGTGTTATGGCTGATTCACCAGGTGGTAAAAAAACAAGAGGTTCATTTCCTCTTTTTGATTGTTAATTGACCATCTCCATTTCTCCAAAGGCTGGATTAGGATTGCAAACAGCTTTCCTCTGAGATTCTGCTGTTAAGTGAGACTTACAGTATTTTGTGTCTCTGAGTGCTGAGTGGCAATATTTTTAAAAAAGAAAAAAAAGGTTATATTACACTTGATTCAAGAAAAACAAAGATTTCAATGAAGTCTGTCTATAAAGAAACATTCTTGGGGCTAGGTTTCAAGAGGTGTGTGTGTATAGGGAGTGGAGGGGATTTAAAAGGAGAAGCATTTTCCTGTCTCACTTTAATAATAATAATAATAATAATAATAATAACAATAATATTAACAATAAGTTTAAGGAGCTTGGGTTGTTCTCCATGTCCCCGTCCGAGTCTCCCATAAGTGCCTCCTGCTGGAATGAAGTTAGGAAATGAAAGGTTGGGTTCGGAGGAAAGGGTGTGGTTAACCCTCGAGATGTATATATAACATTTAAAAATGACAACATTGGGAGCTGCAAACAGTGAGGGAAACATACATTTTAAAAATAAAATAAAGAGAATTCACTTTTACACAAATTCTGTCCATGTGATGTGTAAAGAAAGTAAGGCTCTTTTTAATTATGAAAAGATTTTGTGCATGTTTCCCCCCATCCCCGAATCCATTTTTAGATGAGTTCTACTGTAAAATGTTCAAGATTGTGAAGAAAACCAAAACCCAGAACAAAATGAACCCCCCAAAAAAGAGATCAGGTTTTCTAAAATATAAAATAAACCAAAGAAAAATTCCTCTAAATCTACAGCAATATTTTAATGGAAAAAAAGGTCCATTTTTCTCTGGTTTGTCAGTATAAAAGGTTCCTTTATTTATATATATTTAAGTTTTTAACTGTAAGTTCATCTTGCTCATCTTCTCATGTAAGGTCCATTGAGTGACTGCTTGGGCACACCAGCAGCATTCATATAGCTGTGATGGGAGGGGCCAGTGTACATCATGTTTCCATGAGGGTTTGGCTGCATAGGCTGCTGGGTATAAGCCTGGCTCCCCATCATTCCCATTTGCATCTGCATAGGATACTGTGCTGTCTGGTTCATGTAGGCAGGGTTACTATGGTAACTGCTGTTCATCATGGGCTGTGTCATTCGATAGCTGTTCATGGCATTCAAGGTGTTCATATTCATGGAATTGACATTATAGGCAGGAGTTGGCATTAAATTAACCCCCATGTTCATGCCACGCTGAACAGCCAATGCACGAGGGCCAGCCTGCATGGCAACCGCTGGTGGGCTGCGGCCATATAGCTGCTGCTGATGAGCAGCTGCAGAGGGCAGTGGCGCAGATTTGGAACGGATAGAAATGTGCCCCTTGACTGGCATTTGCCCTTGCAACCTCTGAGTGTGAGGAATGCCAATGTTGGTGGCAGACATGTTGCACTGTAGCAGAGGTGATGTGAGGTTCATGGTAGTGGATGCCAAGTTGGGGGGCGGTGTCATGGTGGCTTGTGCTTGAGGGGTCCCAGCTAATGGATGAGATGGTGCTAGCTGAGCGAGTCCTGTATTAGACAAAGAAACACTGGTTGCATAGGAAGTCACAGCAGGAGAATGGCTATAAGGCATGGCATGAGGGTCCATAATGGTGTTAGTCAGCTGTTGCAACTTGGCTAAACTGAAGGTGGCTGATGGTTGAGAGTAGCTGCCAGCACCAAAATCCCCTGGAATCCTCTCATAGATGCTTATATTCCCAGTGCTTCCAGATTCTGGTATCTCCATGATCATAGGAGCTGGAGTGAAACTATTATTCATACTACATTGTGATAGCGGGGGCTGCTGTTGGGGTGGGGGTGGGGGCTGAGGCTGCTGGGGCTGAGGCTGCTGCTGTGGCTGCTGCTGCTGTTGCTGCTGCTGTGGCTGGGGTGGTGGAGGCTGTGGTGCTGGTTGTTGTTGTTGTTGCTGCTGCTGTTGCTGCTGTTGTTGCTGTGGTGGCGGCGGTGGTGGCTGCTGCTGGTTACTAGGAGGCCTCTCCACCACACAACTCTGAGGTGACTTGATATTGCAATTGGTAGTAGGCTGGACAGTGTTCTGCTGCAACATGCTGCAGCTGTTGCCCATGTTTGCCATTTGCTGAGTGACAACACAACTGTTCTGGGTGAGGCTGCTAGACGATGACAACCCACCATAGGAGCAGCTGCTCTGAGAGGAGTTATTCCCACATATGCTGCTACCCATTGTGGAATCATAGCTGCTAGGGTTCTCGTAGTTCTCTGTGGTGCTCTCGATGCTGCCCAGATCACTGAAGCCACTGTCTACTACCTGCTGAGAGTGGTCTGATACGGAAGGCACATCCATCATGGGGCTGGTCTCCATGTTCTGCATAGAGGGTGCGGACAGGGATCCTTGTTCTGGGCTGATCTGTGTGTAACCACTCTCCAGGGCAGGCACATTGGGACTGCTGACTGAACGGACTGACTGGCTGGGATGAGACTGAACTGAGGATATTGGGCTATTATGTTCTGAAGCGTGACAGTCTTCAACCATTGACATCTGAGGGTCTTCATCGGTCTGGGTGTAACTCTGCAGGGTCTGACAAGCTGCGAGTGTTTCTTCACAGTCCTGGTAGGCTCCCTCATGCTCATTGCTTTCTTCTTGAGTCAAAGACTGCACTGCTTGTACAGTTTCCAGATCCAGTTCACTATGAGGAATCTCTTCTTCCTCTTTTAATTCAATTAATTCTTCCTTAGTGTTGGAATCTTCTTCATGGTCATCCTCAGACCCCGGCATATGCTCTGATACCACAGATGTCTCATTGGAAGGCTGTTCCTCCTCAGAATCTGGTTCTGTTTCATCTTTATCCTTTATGGTCTCCCTACTGTTCTGCATGTTAGTATCTAAAAAAGACTCTTGACCACTCGGCTCCTCCTTGATATCTTCTCTAATGGGCTGCTCCTCTGGCTCCTGTTTCTTTGTAGGTTCCAGATGACCATCATCTTCATCATCTGCATCATGGTCTTCATTCTGATTTGCCTCGGTGGTCACTTCATCGTCTTCCTCTTGCTCCTGTTCTTCCAGTTCTTGTGGCTCTTCTTCTGACTGCCTTTGTTCTTCTAAGATGTGAGGTTTCTCTTCTTCCTCCTCTACTTCAGGTTCTTTCATTTCAGTTTCGGGACTGTTGCTGCTGTCTACTGGAGAAGTGGCTCTAACTTCACTGCTGGTTGTGTCCTCTTCCTCTCCCTCTTCAACCTCTTCTGCTTCCACATGCATCTCCTCGTCCTTTCTTTCTTCCAATAAGGGCAAGTCTTTTTTTGGCTCAATAGTTTCTTCATTTTCTTGGGTTTTGGGTTTACGACCGGGTTTGGGAATGGGAACAATGGGCTCAACAATGCGCTCTTGAGTAGAAACGGCTAAGATTTCCCGATTCAACTTAAATCCGGGTTTTCGACCAGGTCTTTTCTTCCAGTGGATTGGTTTGCGGCTCTTGCCTTTGGGCCATCCCTTTTTCTTTTTCATAGGTGTGGATGTATCTGGCTCAAGGGAAGAACTGTTCACATCACGTTTCCGTAAAAGAGATACTGGCTTTAGGATAGGTGTGTCTGTATAGGATGGATAAAAAAAAAATAAAGACATTATATTTCTACTGTCTTTTTCGGAGACCAGCATGTAAAAGAAATGATTTTATGAAGTATCATTTTTATTCAGTGATTGTAAAACATAAATAAGCTTTATAAAGATGCAAATAATAAGTAGCCATTAGTACTTTTATCATGTTATTTTTACTATGGAAGTGACAAATTGGCTTATTCTTTTTTTTTTTTTTTCCTGCTTTTAATTCATGTCATCTTTCCGGTGTTCTTAGTTTCCACAAAATCATTACTTGAGGTAGAATTACTAGCCAATTACTGCAGACAATGTTGTTTGGATGGGAATAGCTGCAAGGCATTTAGTCCCTAAACAAATAAGTTAAAGCACAATAATATTTAGTAGATAAAACTTTCATATATTTTCCCTATACTGTGATAAAATATACATAAAACTTATTTTAACTTATTTATAAGTGTACAGTTCAGTGGCATTAAATACATTCACAATCCCCATTTATTTATTTATTTTTTTGTATTGGGGATTGAACTCAGGCGATTCAACCACTGAGCCACATCCCCAGCCCTATTTTGTATTTCAATTAGAAGACAGGGTTTTACTGAGTTGCTTACTACCTCACTTTTGCTGAGGCTGGCTTTGAAATTGCAATCTTCCTGTCTCAGCCTCCTGAGCCGCTGGGATTATAAATGTGCTCCACTGTGCAGACTCCCATTAATTTTTAAAGGTTAAGAATACAGTAGAGGATAGGAAAGGTAGCAGAATACAACAGTTACTAATATGGCATTATGTAAAAAAAAAGTGGATGTGTAACCGATGTGATTCTGCAATCTGTATACGGGGTAAAAATGGGAGTTCATAACCCACTTGAATCAAAAGTGTGAAGTATGATATGTCAAGAGCTATGTAATGTTTTGAACAATTAAAAAAAAATAAAATGATGCATACTTAAAAAAAAAAAAAAGAATACCAAGGCAAGAATGGGATTTGGGAAGGAAAGCTAAAAGTGTTTAGCTAATGGTAACTTGAAAGTAAAGAAAGGAAATGGCTTCATCAGAGACATCTATCCAAATCATCAGGAATTTAAACAGGGCACACTATTTTAGAGCAGAGTGATAAAAAACAGGATGTAAAGTGCTAAATTTACAAGACAAATTTATAGTTTCTTAGTAGTATATTTCAAAAATATAACAAATAAAACTTTGGAGAATCATTAAAATAACACAAATAAAGTAAAGAATTCAGTCATCTTATCACCGTATTAAAAGCATGTTATACAAAAACATAGGAGTAAAGGAAATGCAAGTTATTTACTAGATTTGAAAAAAAGATTTTAAAAAGTAGAATAAAAAGCTCAACAAATTAATGCATAAAAGCTAAAGGTTTATGATGCCAAGTAGAAAGCTGATTTCTTCAAATTTACCCAGCAAAGCTCAGTTTGAACCCAGGTAAGGCAAACATACTATAGATGGGGGAAGCATTATATATGATGGCAAAACTTAAGGCTAGAATGAAAAAGCCTAGTTTTTGACCTAGCTCATATTATGAGCCCTTATTTTTTGTATCTCCAAAGAGTAATAAAACAAAACTATTTTAAAAGTAAATAAGATTTTTATCTATATCATAAAACTTAAAATTCATGAGCTATTGCTACTATTCATTAGAAATTTACTACTAATTGAATAAGACACATTAGAGATGGTTCAGGAAGGGCTCCTGAACAGATCTGTGGTAAGTTCCAACTTATATGAATCTGCTCTTATTGAAGAATGATCTTCTTAGCATTTACTCAATTAGCAATATTTACTAAGTTGCCTATCACAAGCACTCAGCACAAAGCAATGAACAAAACAAAGTCCAGAGAGTTACATACTCTAGTAAATGGCTATTCTACCTTTCTGATACTAAGTCCCATTCACCCACTAACTAAAAGTTCAGATAAAGAATAAGAAAGAATTAGGCAAAAAAGAACAGCATCCTAACTATTTAGAGTAAAATATTTTCTACAGAGGCAAAAACAAGTCCCGAACTAAAGGAGAAACTAATGGAAGAATCAGCATGGATATATTTGATACAAACTTTAAAGATTGCCACGTTTGTTTTCTTGCTTAGTGAGTTGTGTTCATTTTTCAACCTTTTGTTGAAGGGCTTACAGCTATTACCTCTATGTATTTAAAGACAATAAAACTATAAGTAAAACAATTCTGTAAAACATACCATCAGCATCGTCTGACTCCTCATATTCCGACTTCCTTTTAGATGATCGACACCTGAGAACATCCTGTGAGGACAAACGATGGAAGTATCCTCTATGGAAGAGTTCATTTTCATCCTCTTCTTCTTCTTCTTCTTCATCAATCTCATATGTGGGTTCTAATCGTGGCATTGGTCTCTCAGAGTCAGAGTCTTCAAAAGGTTCATCTAACACTTCTGTGGTCTCAGAAATAGTTTCTGTGACTACACTGCTATTGTGATGCTTGCGCTTTCGGACTCTCCTTCTTCGGTGAAGAATTGGTTTCTATTTAATAGAGAAATCAAATACATATAGTAATGAACAATGTTTTGGGTACTAACAACATGGAAAGAGTTTAAAAACCTAATAGAATTAGCATATATAAAATGAAGGTGCTCTTTGCCAGAAAATATTTTAAACATTATTTCTAAATATTAACATACTATGTGTAAAGTATTAAGAATACAATGATGTTGAATAATTGAATATGAATTTGCAGAAAAACAGGCAAGCACATTCAAAAAGCAGGTATAATTTTCTTTTAGTAATTCAGTTATATTTAACATCCTAAAGAGTTACTTATTTCAATAATGAAATGACCCAGAGGCTAGTCCATTAACTTATTTCTTTTTTCCTCAAGAGCAAAAAAGGAATAAAACACTCTAATACTCTTAAGGTTAGCAGCTCAGTAAAGCTATATGCCATCTTCATGAACTATCCATAAAAAAGAAATATAGAGTAGAAATGTATTTACTTGATATTAGTGATGCATTTCAAAAGCCAAATAAATCTGCTATTGAAATTTGGCATATTTGGCACACCTTTGCACTGGGTTGACCTAGTATCTTGAATGACATAAACAATGTCATTCAAGTATCACAAAGTAATAGAGATAATGTGCCAGGAATTATCTAATCCAATCCTTTCACTATAGAGGCTAAAAAGGCTATAGGACTTGCTCAAGGTCACATATCTATTTAGTATACAAACCATAATAGTCTCTTAATTCCTAATTTCTTTAAGAATGTCAAAAGTAGTTGCACATGATCTCACTCTCCTTTTCTCACTCTCTTTTTTATACAAGGAAACAGCATTTTTTTTTTTTTTACTTTACAAATAAGCAATATAAGCCCAAGGAGAGCAAATATATATTCTTCATGACCATGTAATGAAGAGAAGAATTAGTCAATGTTCAATTTTTGCCTACTTGAAATCTACTGGTCCTAACTGAAAACACAATTTTCAAATTAGATGGGAAATGGCCTTACTCCTTGGAGAAATGGCAGGAAAGACACAAGGTAAACTTGGAGAATCTTATGCTGCCAGAAAGTAAGAAAGTTTTCAAAACAAAACAAAATCTACAATGATAGGGGGTATGTATGTTAAAGAGACAGGAGCAAAACTGAAAGAGATCTGAATGGCCAAAGATAGAAAGATTTGGGCAACAAATTAAAAAATGTAATAGTATTAGATTATAAATTGAAATAGCAGATGAATGTCTTGAGTTCATATTGATATAAGCAAATATATGAATAAATCAATATATGCGGGAAAATGGATAAATCTCCCAAGCAAATAATTTGTGCAAATACTCGGCTCTTAGGATAATTACTCGTATCTTAAGTGTGAGACTTTCTTCCAGTATGGTATGCAAAAGGAGAAAAAAAAAGAGTTACTTGATAATGAAGAAATCTGACAAGCACTTACCTGGGTTAAAATCAATAACGAGAAGTCATACTGATAATATATACCTTGTAAATGAAACACATTGATACATAGATATTGATAGAAACCCTTAATATGATATGTTGAGAATGGCACTTTACTTCTATGGTCTTCTTCTCAAAGACATATAACCCCATTCTAATATCATAAGGAATATTCTACAAAATACCTGAGCAGTAATCTTTACAACTGTTAAAACCATCAAAACAAGGAAGGACTGAGAAATTGTCACAACCAAGAAGAGCCTGAAGACATATGACAACTAAATGCAATACGATATGCTGGATGGGATCCTAAACAGAAAAAAGGATATTAGGGAAAACTGGAAATTTGCGTAAGTACAGACTCTGGCAACTAATTAACCCACAACGGATCATTAATTATGAAAAATATACCATACTAACCTAAGAGGTTAATAATAGGGGAAACTGGGTATGGACTTTGTAGGAACTTTGTACTTTTTTTTACTTTTTGTAATAATGATGTGTATCTTAAAATGTTCTTAAAAAGTCATTATTTTTCTAATGGCCCTTTTAGAGAAAGAAAACATTTCATTGTTTTGGATGAAGGCTGTCACCCTTTACTACAGAGTAGGGCTCATCCAGGGAGCTGACATACTTTAGTCTTACCATGGCAGTGCTAAAAGTTTGCTTTATATAGCCTGGGATATTTCTGGTATTTGGTAGTCCCTCCTTACCAGTGGTTTCACTTTCCATGGTTTCAGTTACTCACGGTCAATTGCAGTCCAAAATATTAAATGGAAAACCAAGAAATTATTCACAATTTTTAAATTTCATGCCATTCTGAATAATGTGATGAAATCTCACACTATCTTTCTCCTTCCTGCCCTAAATGTGAATCATTAGTTTGTTCCATGTATTCACGCTATGTGTTACCATCTGTCTGTCACTAACCATCTAAATTATCAGATAGACTGTCCCAGTATTATAGAGCTATGTCCAAGTAACCCTTATTTTACTTAGTACCCAAAGCATAAGAGAAGTGATGCTTACAAGTGAGATAAGTCAAAGAGATACAGTAAAGTGCTTCCTTTAAGGGAAAAGGTGAAAGTATAGTAAGATTTTGAGAGAGACCACATTCACAACTTTTATTATAGTATATTGTTTTAAGAATTCTATTTTTGCTATTATTGTTGTTAATCTCTTATTGTGCCTGATTTGAACAATTTTACCTTCAATCAGCAAGGTAAAAATGGTTTGCTCTTAAATAAACTTCTGACTTCTATGTTCATTCCCATGAACCAAAGAAGTCACACATATTTCAAATGTTCCCTGGGAAGATCATAAGCTACAATACATTGAAGTTTAACGTTTAAAAAATAACATACTAGGAATTTCTACCTTTACTCTTTCAGAACTGAAGGAGAAGACAAATGGGCACAATAAACTGCAACTAGAGGAAAAACAACACATAGAGAAAACATTACCTTTCGCTTCAATGTGGGTTTTGTAAGAATTGGTGGTGAGTTTGACCGAGGACTTTCTGGCTCTTCTTCCTCCTCACTGCTCTCACTGAAGCCCCTAAGGAGAGCCCTGTCACCATCACTATAGCAACGAGGCAGTCTATCATTTCCTTCTGGTAATCTGCACTTCAGAGTCTCAGGGCTTTTCTTTAGCTGTCCTCGCCACAGCTCAACCCCCTCACTTAATCTTCTTTTGGGAATGTCTGGCTTCCCATCCTGGCTTGGCTGTTCCTGAGAGGCTGTCAATTGTTCTTCACTTTCAGTGTATTGTTCTTGGGAGGTTTCTGATTTTTCCTCACATTCTCCATATTGTTCCTGAGGAGTTGATGATGTCTCTTCCAAGAGCAGTTTAGAATCTTTATCACCAAAACGTTCTTGGGTCTTTCTGTTCTTCCTCCCGCACCGGCCCCTCCGAGATGGCTGACTATTTGCAGGAAGACTATCACGGGGAAGGATCTGTTTGTTCAAACGTGTAGAACTAGCTGGAGCCATAACTTCTGGTTTCTTTTCACTTTCTACTGAAGAATAAGAATCCTGTTCTTTGTTCTCCCGAGACAGAGATTTTCCTATCTGGTTTTGGAAAATAAAACAGGTTAATTTTTTAACCCTATTTAGTTTCATCTACCTATCCTGCCCTTTAAAATACAGAAATAAGGAAACAGAGATTTAAAAGAAAAATTATTATTTAGTAGCTAACATGAATACTTCCTATGTAGTAGACCACACTTTTAAATGCTTTATATGTATTATGTATTTAACCCACATAACAACTGTGTGAAAAAATAATATATCCCCACCTTGAAAGTGAGGCAACTGCAACAAACAGAAAAACTTACGTGATCTGCCCCAAGTCACTCAATAGTAGTAAATGAAGAAGTTGGGACAAAAACCCAGCAGGCTAACTCTAGAGCTGTGCTCTTAACCACTATGAAATACCACCTTTAACATACAAAGTGAATAATATCATTGTTTTTATAAATTTTAAATTAGGGTCTCAGAGTAGGCAAGATGAAAAAGACATTGGAGAAATATGAAAAAAAATTTCTGAAATTATTTCTATTCTGAATATTTAATTCCATTTTGAAAACTGCACTAAAGAGGGGCATTAGATATTTTTACATCCAACAAAGGAGGAAATGAAGGATGAAAGCACTGCTAAAAAAAAAAAAAAGTATACAACACTTAAAACATGCAATGCAGTATAGCCCATCAACCCTTTTAATAGTTAAAGGCATCTGTGTGTCCACTGAACTTTTCAGAGCTCTACTGAAAACATATGCATGTTTCTATTATTTCTTTAATGTTCTTTTTTTTAATGTGTCCTCAATTTTAATAAGTGTCAGATTTAGATTCAATTCAGATTCCTCAATTACTATGCAGCTTAAAATTTAGCTGCTTATTGGCACTCTGGTAAATATTTAGTCATAATTAACACATTGTAAAAAGTCTGATGGTCTAAAGCTTTAAAAAACACTAAAAGGTAAATAAGACCTAATCTTCCTGAAGTTTTTGCCACTGACATAAATTCTAACAAAATACATGCACTTATTTTGTTGGTAAGATACTGTAATATGTCACAAAAATACATGAAAACCAAAAAATGTAATTCGTTCACCGTCAAAAACAAGAAACTACTCATGTCCTTACACTGGTCTCTAATTCTCTTTCCTGGCACTGTGGTTCTTCATTTTCTCCTTCATCAGCCTCCTCATCTTCCTCCTCTGAGACAACAGAGTTGGAGACTATGACAGGAGTCCAGCGTAAACATTCTGGATCCACATCTACAGGTCGCAAATTCAACTGAAGCTTTGCCATGTGATCCTGGATAAGTTTTTCCCGGCGGATAATCACAAATCTAGAACCAGAGAAAAGTTTATAGCAACCACCAATATACAATATGTTCATTAAAATGAATGTCATCTCCAAAAACCCTGAAGATGACAATGATGGATGCTTCAAAACAACCTGTTTGGGAAGATGAAATATGGAAATATACCACCACAATGAGATAGCTAAGAAATACGAAGTTGGGCCTCACATTCCACTATAGTAATTAAGTTATTTTAACCACTTACTGACTCATATATCCCCTATCTGCAATTTCTTCTGTCCTCTTGAGCTCTTTCCTATTCTCCATTAATTTAGCTCAAATGCTTTTTAACTTAAAAAAAATATTTTTAGCTGTAGACAGACATAATAACTTTATTTATTTACATTGTATGTGGTGCTGAGGATTGAACCCAATGCATCACAGGTGCTAGGCAAGCACTCTAGCACTGAGCACAACCCCAGCCCCAAATGCCTCCTTTCTTTGTGACCTTTTCATGACTAATTTAGGCAATGGTGAACTATCTATCCTCCCTTCCAATACACATTTCACTTTGTACCATTTATATGGAAATTAATCATGGATATATTTTACTTAATGACATTGTTTCCAGAATTGTTGCTTTTTATAAGAGATCCCAATGCTAGAAGGTAAAAGATTCAGTGGCTTATGTCCAAAAGTTAGAAAAAAGGATGAAAAAACAGTTTAAAAAAAATATATACAGTTAAATACCACAGAAACCAAAATAATGTGGCAGTACCAAGTGTTTCACTTATATTAGTTATTGTTCTTTCATCAATAATCTGTGTGATCCAAAACTTATACCTTTTCATCTTTCAAAGGTGTTCAAAGGGATGTGATACTCACTGGTCACTACGGAAGTCCAGCATGCGTAGGTGGTGGAGTGTGGAGGTAATGTCTTGAGGGCAGATACCTGTCAACTTGCTTAACTTCTTAATGCTGATCTGTTTGTCATTTTGGTGATAAAGGCACTCCAATATTACACTTTTCCAATAAGCCATATAGGATAAACGACCTAGATCTGACAATGGTTTCTCTGGAGACCCTGCTTGGCCTTCACGCTTTGATAACAAATAACCTAAAGAAACCCCCAAATCACAAAGATGTCAGAGATCCTAAAAATGTCTGATTCACCAAAGTAATAATTCTCTTTCCACAATCAAATCAAATATTATAGGCAATAATAATTTCAAAGGTAAATTCCTTGAAAAGCAGGGAACAACTTAGCAAAAATACTTGAAATTTCTGTTTGCAGGGAGATTATACAATTTTCACATATTGGACATTAGGTTAATATTGTCTACAGTCAATATAAATCACTTTGTTAAAATAGTCAAGCTGTAAAAAATCAGAACTGACACCACATTAATAAGATTATGGCAAGAACAGTTTTTATTGTAATGGGCATATTTTCTTTGGACCACTAGATGGCAACTGGTATATATGAATTGAGAAATATAAAAAGAATGCCTTAGTTTTGTGTAGTCCTAGTAAAGACTGTGGTTCTTCTATGAGTGAATTAGATGATAATTTCTTACTTCAAAAGCTCTCCTTATAATTCCTATCATTCTAATTCTCTGTGACTGTATGGTGCTATCACTCTTTCTGTCTAATGCATGACTCTCAAGAATTAAGGAAGGGGGGGAAGCATAAATCTTAAGGCAAAGCATAAAAAATGAAGATGGCCACAGCAGATGTAGTTTTGTCATTAAAATTTTTTTTTTCAAAACAGTGTAAGGATGGTCATCTAGAAGAATCTATTATACTAGCAAAGTAAAACAAATACCATAATCATACAGATTTTGTATCTCAAAATATATTCAAGAAATGGTAATCACTATAAATAAAATATTTTCCCTAATTTTACTATTTAACAATATTTAATATGTTCAATCATGACTCCTATTTCAAAGCAATATTACTATAAAATCAGAGTTTCACTTCTTGCCAATCCAAAAAGGCCAATAAAATATACCAAAAAAACCCAACAGCATGTACTTCCAGTAAAATATTATTAGGAGTATAATTGAAAGTGTCAAAAAAAGAAAAAAAGAAATAAAGAAAGAGTCCAATAGAACAACCTTAACTAGTCTGTGAGAATTAACTTCCCAAGACTAGAATCAAAATTAGTTTGAACCATTATGTCAGCATATACTCCTTTGAATACCATTTTATACCAGTGTCTGGGGGGAAATATTCCCTCAAATTAATATAACCATAAAAGTTAATGCAAAAACACAGTTAACTTTCTAAGCTACAATATCAACATGTAAAACAGAATGCAATTTCTACAATGACCTTTGAACTGTTTTCACTTTTAACTCAGATTACTTCCTGCATCATTCACTTTTTTAGGATTTTTAAAGTTGTGTTGTAAATTTTTAACCAGTAGGTAAAATGTGTAACTAAAAAACACATACATTTTCTCAGATAATGGGGAAATGAAAATGGGGCAGTTGCTATACTTCTTCTGTACGTCTTTTTAGCACTGATTTAAATAGTTTTACAAGGTTTTCAGTACTGCTGTGAGTTCGTATTACTGCATAAACTAAGCTCCATTGTAAATGGACAGGTAAAAATTAAAGATATTTGGTACAGAACACATAAAATTATATTCAGTATTAGCTATTGAAAAATATTTTGTGTCCAACCAAAAGCAAAAAAACTTGTGGCTTTAAGTTTTTAAGACCTATACAAAAATATGACAAGAGATATTAGGAGCCCATACATCATTACAAATCTCTACTATCTATCTGGTCCACAAGAAGAGAAAATGAGAAAGTATGTTAATATAGTCCTTACTGAAATCGATGAGAAACCTGCCATAGCCCTTACGCTGGTATTGGGGAAGAATCATTATACAGGAAACGTTGTATTTCTGTTGGCAGTGCTTTTCCTGGTGGAGAGAAAAGAAGCCATGTTTTAAACAACAGGCTGGTAAAATGAATAGTAATGCTAATTATTAAGAAACAAAGACTAACAGCTAAAACCACTGCCCTGGTCCTTTGGAAATAGCAATATACATGGGGGCGGAGGACACCCCACATCCCACTGGGAGAAGATAAGACAACGTGAAGCCACTGCCATTCCCCACAAAGCAAACATCCCAGGAGAGTAAGAATATAATGATGCCATCCAATAACAACACCTGCAACTCAAAAACAGCACATCAATGCCTAAGATCAGCAAAGGAATCTGAGTCCCAAATAATCTGTAATGCTACAAAATGATGAATCAATGTAGCACTCTGTGAGAAGATTCATCATTATTTTTACCCCACTCCCTATTAGTTATGGCTGACTTTACACAAAATAGTCCTGAATGTGTATAAAAATACATTTTTATATTAGTTAATGTATTATTAAATACATATTTAGCTAATGAAGTAGCCTTGGGAAACTCTTATAAAGCCAATACTTTGCACTAAACTGTTTTATACACTTAGTTTACCATGGGCTTGCTTATATACAAGTACATTTTTTTTAAATGTTGTTTGACTAGAATTTTTTTCCCCTAAAGGAATGGAAGATTAAGGAAAAAGAAAATATTCTTTAATAAAAATGGTCCAATCTTATTCTTATGTCTATGCTTGAAAATTCAAATTAGGAAGAGAAGATTTAAGCTGAGAAAGAACTCAGAGAGGTAATGACTGTGTTTATTTCACAAGTACTAACTGTTATCATCATGGGAACAGGAGTCATTTACCTCTTGCGTATTACCAGTAGTCATGTTCCTAAGAGAATATACTGTGTTGAATGTTACTAAGCATCTTCTAGTGGTTGGTAAGTTTCTGAATGCTCTTTCTATTTTCCTTCTCCAAAAGCTAATGATACCCTAGAAGGTGTTGCATCCTCCCATGTCTCCTACTGAGAATCAGCAGACTGCCCCAAATTTCCATAAGAATTCAAACATTTGAAGTTGATACAATACTTACTTTAGAAAAGTAGCCAACAAGGTGGCAGCCCTTGACATCATTCTGTGTTAGTACATAAAAAAGAAATGGCTCCACATCATAATAGAGTGTTTTGTGGTCAAGAAATAACTTTGCCAAGAGACACAGGTTTTGACAATAAATGGTACTCACGTTCCCATCAACCTAGAGGAAAAAAACAGGAGAGAGTAATCAGCAGAATGTCACTTTAATCCTATAATAATATGCACCAGTTACAAGTATCTCTAGATATCTGTAGTATAGCCTAAGAGAAGCTGTCAGTGAGCAACACATACTAGAACTTGGAAACTACCCTTTGAAACGGCAGTATTATGACACTTGCTGTTTTAAGACAACAAAATATACAAAAACACCATTTTAGACAAAGCAGAAATAGCTTAAATGGGAGGTAATGATCTAGTTTGCTGAGATTAATTACAGGAATACTTTGGATGGCAAAATTCATTTTCAAAAGTATTTAATTCAACAACAGAGCCAAATGTAACCTCTTCTAAAATACATGTATTAGGTAAATCATGATATAACTGACATCTATCTCTACCAGCATTTTAAGCAATGTGGTTTGACTCCCATGATCAGCTATACCCGCAAATAAAGCTGCATGAAGGAGTATAAATTATTGCTTCTCGGAAGCACCAAGCAGGTTTCTAGTTAAGACCCTAAAAAAGTGTCTTAGGTTGGCCAGGATCAGGAGCACTACACACTACTGCTCCTGATGTTCCTGACTGCCAGGATAACCACATTAGTTCCCAAGACATTGTCTGGCATGCTAACTGAACTCTTCAACAATCTAATTAACTTAATATGACTTCTTTTAAAATATGTAACAATGCATGCTTAAGTTGAGAAGCAATTTGATTTTGGGTAAACAGGACTGTATTCCATATCTGATGCTCCTAACTCACAAGATGAAGAGCTCCTTTATTAATCAACTAAAATAAAGTCTTAGGAAAGACCAAGAAAGTGAAAGTCTGAGTGGACCCAGGCAACCTAAAATTCTATTACTGTATTAATTAACAGGACTGATCATAACAAGTCCTCAATACCTGGCATTCACTGTATGATGCTGAGAATCAAGAATTTAAAGGTTACTATTAACAGCAACACAGACTCACAGATATAGCATTTTTCTTAACATGATGATCTTAAGATTTACGAATGCTCTTGGTGCATCTCTATAAGATATTCCTTTTAAATAAATAACAGAAATCTTTTCATTTAAATGTTGTATTTCATAGATTCTAAGATGCATTTTTATCACATCTTACATATGCAAAATTGACATCTTCAAATACAGTTTAAAAATTATAATTAACAATACATTTTCCTTTATAGTGGCACTAAAATACTAAGATATATTATTACTGATACCTTTGATTAAATGAAATACCAAATAACTTATTTTGAGGTCAAGCTTATGAACTTGGTACCATTTGGGTTGGTCCAATTCTGCTTCTCACATAGCTAAATTATCCAACTCAGTAGTGAGTAAACAATAGTAAAAAAACATTGCCCTACCCCAAAGTCAACTTGTACAATTAGATGCAATATAGATGACACTTTTTGAAATGGACAGGAAAATAAGTACCAAAAATCTATCTTACCTCAAAGACAGAAATATTATTCTTTCGGTAAATCTCATTGGCAGGAGGATGAAACCAACCACATTTTTTCATATGCTGCTGTAGAATAGTTCTACTTTTCATATATTTTAGACAAAACTCACAAAGATACAATTTAGGCAGCCTGTAAATAATAATTTAAAAAGACAGAGCTTTATATTTTACAGATCTTCAAACTTTCATAACTCTTCACACTTTACTGTCTCATTACTAAGCAGTTACAAAAGTAGAAAATGTATCATTATCCCCTTTAAAAACAAAGAAGGAAGGCAGGAAAGAAGAACAGAGGAAAAGGAAAGGGAGAGGAAGGAAAGAAATCAAAACTTAAATTAATTAGATAATAGCAGTCAATTAATTAACAGCAGGAGGACAAAGATGAGAAAACAAGACACCTAGTTCAGTGTTCTTTCAGTCTTTAAGTTACTAGATATGAAAATCTCACATTCTTTCCTCCTTAAGAATCTCTAATAAGCAAAATAAAGTCTATTTTCCAAACACACAAATAACTGAAGATAGTTTTGTTGATCTATAGATTTTTTTCTTCCTTTGTCATTTATTTCTTCATTAATCCATTTTTGGGGAATTAAATATTTCTTGAATGCTTATCACCTATGAGGCCTTGTGGAGGTACACAAGGTGTATGTATAGTGGTGAGTAAAATGGACACATAGTGTATACTCTAAAAATACTCTGTAAATGTTTTTAAGTATAAAATTATAATACTGAATATGTTTTGGCAAAGTGGGACATACTATACTACCTCTTTTCTACTTTCTACCACTAAAGTTCTGGCTCTCTCCCTGGTTAAGTCACTATATGAAATTGTGTAAATCAAAAGTCTATCATTCAACAAGTAAAATAAAGGCTCACATTATTCTTTTAGGTGCCCTCAGTTGTTAGTTTATATTTATTCAATAGACTTGCTATGTAGTAGTAGTTTAACAGAACCCCTTCCTTAATAATATTCCTTTATTAGGAGCTTGGCAATAAAGTGATTAGAACAATTTATAAGGTAATAACAGGAACATACCCTAAATTTTAAAAAAAAGTTAGTGGCCTTGACACCCATGTAGCCTGAATTCACAATGCCAAAAGTTTCTTCTGGTATAAAATACATACCCCATGTATCCTCAGCTCAAAGCTGGTTTCCCTACATCCTGACCTATTATCCACAACCGTTGAATCTTGATAACCTGAGACTGACACCATCATTAAAAACTATTATGTGCAAACATACTAGCTAGTAAAATGACAAAATATACAATTCAAATAAATTACTATATCTTGTCTCATATTTTAAGAACTGAGATGGAAGGAAATTTTTAAATCTCATTAATTTAATCACCATCAGTTCAGTTAGGCTTAAAAGATTACCTTAGAATTAAATATTTGCTAAGTAGATTAATATACACAAAAATGTCTGATTTATTAAAGTGTGAAGACCACAAATATTTTTTCAAGTTCCCACTTTGGAAGCAGCATTTGTAGCATAATTATAATTTCTCTGAAAACATCTAACATTCTACTAAAGCCTTTCCTGAGGTATATTTATGGCATACAGTCCTGTATGCACTGAGCACTTCATGCTCATATAAGGATGGAAAAGGCCATGTGATTATCTTTCCTTCTCCCTAGAAGACTTGCAATGTGCACTAATTCTTCCCATATAACTTTATGTCTTGTTTTATTTAAAACTGCCATTCTACATACTGAAAGCTTCCAAGAAACTGTTATGGTATAAAATTTGTCTATAATATGCAATATTATTTTCTAAAATCTAATAGTAACTACACCAACATAACCTGAAGTCATATCATTAATACAAAAATCATTCCAAAATATTGAGTGCAACAAATAATGACTAACATTATAAAGTCAAGAAGCAAGAGCCAAGAGTATGGAAAAGAAACATGTCCTAGGCTATTTTGCTTATTTTCTTTGCATCCTGCTCCAAACCCCACCAATCAAAGGAGAAATAGCAGTAAGCTAAAATAACATTTTCCTTCTTTACCACCAGAGCTACAAATCTAAAAATGAAACGGCTTCAGTTATAAACCTCATCATCCAATGTGGGCACTAAATGTATTATCTAAATCTTGGGCTGGGATTGTGGCTCAGAGGTAGAGCGCTTGCCTAGCACGGACAGGACCCGGTTTGATCCTCAGCACCACGTTAAAAAAATAAATAAATAAAGGCATTGTGTTGTGTCCATCTATACCTAAAAAGTAAATATTAATTTTTTAAAAAAAGAATAATGGGTTTAAATCTTAAAGGTGACCCACAACCATCAAACTGTCTTTGTGAATATCTGAATTTGGAAGATTCTTAAAAGGAAGGTGGACAAATGGCACTCCCCCAACTATCTACTATTTACCTTTAATTATCTGTGCTAAAAAACAATTTAAAATTGTCAGAAGATGAAAATACAGAAGTAACACTACTATACTTGAGTAAAAAGTTTTCATTTTGAGAGCTAAATATCACAAATATTTCCTAAAATGTTAATCTGAGAAACCTAAGCAAAATTCTGTGTTTTTAAAAATATTAAAAAGAAAAATAGAAGGAAAAAAAAAACAGTGTCAGACTACCTAAGTTTTCCATATTACAGTAAAAATGAATGCTAACTTTTTCATCCAATCCAACTGTTACATCTCTGTACAGAGAGAAGAAAATACAGTGAAATTTATGCTAATTAGCTACATTTGAGTCATTTCACAATGTCTGTAATACTCACAGACACTGTATTGTACGTGATAACATATAATTTCATCTGTCAAGTAAAAAGGCAATAAATATTCAACAAATGCTACTTTTCAGGAAATATTTATAAAATAAAGAAACGAAAGTACAATTTATTCCCGATGGTCTGTGAGAAAAGGCCTTTTTTTTTTTTAAGTTTTAATAGTAACCAGGTTGCTCAAGAAAACACTGAAAGAAATGAAATCTCTAAGAAAATTACTGCTAAGTCTCATCCACTAAATTGAGTCCATGCCATACATTAGAATTGTAAGATATAGAACATTTTAATAATTACAATCTCTAGCAAACCTTATTAAATGAAAAACAATAAAGTAAAAGCAAGTGTTAACATCTACTTTATTCCAAAATATTTCTTGCTGAAAATACTTTTAAAGTCCCTGATTTTATCAGAATCAAGCCCATTTGGATGACGCTCTTTAATCTAAAGGGAATGGCCTGAAAGAATTGGAAAAACAAAACTTTCTTTTAGTAAAGTATAAATGTCTGCAGTTCTTACATTGGGAAAATATATTCTATACAAAGAACATTAAACTACATGAAATGAAATGCAGTTATAAAGATTTTGTATACTCCTAGCCCTAGAGAATTCTAGTGGGGGCTGCTTTTGGTGATCCTCCTGCTGATAGTACCTACATCTTTTTTTGCTCAGCTTCACCAATGTGATGATACCCCAGCTTGTAAAATCAGGATTAGGTTGCAGCTATATGTAATCCCCTTACTTCTAGAATAATACAGATTTTCCTTCTGGGAGTTTCTAGAATAACTCTGGCTTTTAAACACTGCCCAAGATAGTAGCAGTCTGTGTGGTCTTCACAATTGACAACCTATAGTGAAACTTATAACAAAAATTACACCAAATACTACTTAAATCAAAAATTAAGGTACAAGCCAAGTGAGCCCAATCTAGATTAACATGATTCATACAGTTCAACACAAGTGGCTGAAGATATGGCTATGTGGGAAGAGAGAAGTGGGCTTAAATCCTAGTTCTGTCACTTACAAACCATAATTTCTCAAATATGACTGCTGGACTCGTCTTCTCTGAATACAGAAATATTCACCTCACAAAATTATTGCAGAGATGTTCAGTTCAATGAATTGTAATTACAGCTGCAATTATTCATTATTATTTTTGTTTTCCTTTCATCCGTTTTACTTCATTTAATAGCCAAAGACAGTAAGGATTCTGTGTGGTTTCTTCCTCAGTAACTGGGATTATGGAAAAAAAAAAAATCAAACCTGGTTCTACTGACAATTTCATAATCTATGCATCAAGTCAACTCAGGTAGAAAATCAAAGGAACTTCCTAAGCAACTCTATTATATGGGAATCTGCCTTGTCGAGACCTTGAAATAATCTCATAGCAAAAAGTTATTCTCAAGCTAAACTCCCAACAATTCAGAATAGGGTACCCGCTAATGACAATTTCTTTTGCCTTGAGCCTATCTGTCATGTTTTCAATGGTAAAGTAGAGGTCTCCAAACTTTTCTGCTTTGTGCATCAAATGGCCCTGATGGAGAAAACTCTTGTTTTATATCCTTCAGTGTCATAGACTTAACTAGATTGATGGAAATAAAATAGAATTGTTGCTTCATTACCATTATTTTTAAAGCCAGGGATTAATTTACTTAATATACAATGCACAAACAAATATTTGGATATTATGGGAAACTCTCTCAAGCATAATCCCGTTTCCCTAAAAATTTTTCTTCAGGTGAGCTATTCTTTTTTGTTTCTTCAAATTGCCCTGTTTTTGTAGACCTTGGGATTTAAACTTTTAAAATGTGTTTATAACCTTTAGCAATAAGAAAATAATTTAGTACAGAATAATAAGTAGGTATTAAAAAATTAAGGATAGAGCTTTATTATTTGGGACATACAAGATCTCTGAACATTTCAGTCAGCTCAAGTTTAAAAGAACTAGGAAGCAAATGCATTTAGATAGATATAGGTAGTTTTTTAAAAAAATACAGAAGAGAATACATTAAAAAATTCATAATTACTAAAGATGCTAATGAATTACTATATTCTAATGGAAAATTGAAGGCACCACAATGGATAAGAAAATGTATAGGAAATGTCCAAAACTCTGCTTTAAGAAAGCTGAATTTTAGGGGCTGGTGTTGTGGCTCAGCAGAACACTTGTGTGCCAGAACATTTGCCTCACATGTGTGAGGCTCTAGGTTCAATCCTTAGTACCTCATAAAAATAAACAAACAAAATAAAGGTATTGTGTCTATTTACAACTAAAAATTTTTTTAAAAAAATAAAGCAGAATTTCATACTTCCTATCCTATTTCTGCCTTCTATTAATGATTTTTATGATACTTTTTTGGTTACTTATTTTCTGCTGGTAACATTTACCACTTTGCTGGTAACCAGGTCCCTCACATTAGTTTCTAGTGACGCTCTCACAGAACAAAAGGCAACAATTTCAACAAATCCTTTTAATATCTTAAAAAACAACAGTTCATAGTTCCATTCTCATCATCTCTTGAAAAGCAAGTGCTAATGCTGGCACTCTGTTTCTATTTCTCCACTGAGTAGAAGAGATAATCTATCTGTACTACAACCCCTGACTTTCTTCTCTAAGTTGAGTGCTCCTCTGATGTGGACAGCTTATGAACAGATCACTTTAAAGTAATAATATGATTTACTTGACAAATAAATTAATTTCTCAGCATATTTCTTCTTGATCACACAAGAGAACCCGGCTATACAAAACTCCCAAGAAATGAGTCACATTGAATACCAGAGTTCTGAAGGGTAGCTGAAGAAGTTTCCTGCTTTCTTCTAACATATACATAATTTAACCTTCTCTGAACAAATTCAAATTATTATTCCATGATATAGAGTACTAACTTAAAGATAATACCACAGTCTACGAATCAGTTGTTTAGGGTCAACTAATCCTACAGTATGGTTCCCAAATGTGTTTGATGAGCTTGTTAGTTTGTCAAGTTTTGTTTTTGCCTTTTTTGTTGTTGTTGTTACTTCACTGAAGTTAGGGTCTATAATAGCACTGTTGCTTCTAGTTTTCTATTTCTGCTACACACTTGGAACCACATTGGCAAGTTATTATATTATATGGAAAGAAAAAATTAAAAGACGCTTTTAGTGGCAGACAATTTTAACAACTCTTTGGATCTATTTTCAGCTTCTTGGAAATAATCCATGTTATAGTTTTTACATATTATAAAAATCAAAGTATATGTTGTTGTAGTTTAACCCACAAAGCACCATAACTTATTATTCCTTACAACACCTGCTAACTGGGAGACTGTAGAATGCATAAGTAGTTCAAAGACTGGGAAGCATTAATGTGACTGCTATGCAACAAATGATAAACTAGTGTTTAACTTTTATTGCATCTTTTTCTCTCTTTTCATTTCAACCCTAAAGGAAAAATACAATTGACATTATTGAGCACTTAACATATAATTGACATTATAAAACACTTAAAGTGATTTACATGGTTTAACTCATTTAATGTTCACAATAACACTATGATTTAAGTACTGTTAGTATCTCCACTTTACAGATGAGGAAACTGACACAGAGTAGTTGAGTGGCTTCTAAGGTTGCACTGTTTATAAACGTCAAGCTAAGTCATGAAATAAATATGGCTCTACCATGCACGTTACTTCCCAAAAAGCTTCAGAGTGGCCAATTTCTATATCTAGAAATCCAAGCTATCTATTTTATATATAATTTTGTCCTATTCCACTTGTCCAATTTTGCCTGGGAAAACACACTATCGACAAAGTTTGTTAAATTATAAAAATTTAGATCAAACTACTCAAGTGAAACTTTATATATATGTAAAATTCTTTCTTGTTAAAAAAAAGGTGAAACTTTATATATATATAAAAAATGTAAAATTCTTTCTTGTTAAAAAAAGAAAGAAAAAGAAAAAAACTAGTGTCAAGATATAGCTTAGTTGGTAGAGTGCTTGCCTTGCATGCACAAGGCCATGGGTTCAATCCCCAGCACCACACACACACACACACACACACACTCTCTAAAGCAAATTTCTCTTAAAGAAAAAACATTCCTCTTTCATTCTGCCCCATACCTAAGATTTCTAATTTTAAACAATAGCTTTTGGAAAAGTTACAGAAAAGAAAATCTAAAAGCCAGTCAGGATTAAGTGATTGCCAAAGAATGCTACAGTTATGGACATTTTAAAAAGCCCCAGTTTCTTCAAATGTAAAAAATGAACTAAACTAGAACACTTTAGTCTCCCTTCTACTTCTAGAGTCCTATGAAACTAAAAAGAAACTAAAGGATCTCTCAAAACATACCTTGAGTATTCTTGAGGATATGGAGAGGAATACCAGGTGTGAATTTCATACTTCCCAAATTCAATGACAGAGGGGCAGCGGACTTGTGGATCAGGGGGACCAGTCACTCCAACTTTCTGTTCAGTCAAGAATACATTACAAAAGTTAGCTAAATCAGATGCACTGACATAATAACAAACAAACAAAAATCTGAATCTAAATCTCTTCTTAGGATTTTTCTATTAGGAAAAAAAAAAAAAGCTAACAAATTTTAATATAAGTTGTTTTTAAACAGAATATCCAAAGAATAAAAAGGCTAATAAATATCTTAGAACTAAATGTAGTTGGCATTACTTCATTTTCTAATTTAAAAATACTGAGAATACTTTCTTCCGACTAAACTTACTCCCTTAATGACTTCATTATTAAAAAGAAACTGCTAGCATTTAAGGATACAAGATAAAGAACAGAGTGCTTGCCTCGCATGCACAAGACCCTGGGTTCAATCCCCAGCACTGCAAAAAAAAAAAAAAAAAAAAATCAAGATAAAGAATAATTTAAGGTGGTGCTTCATATTTGCCTCAGGTGAACACAATGGAAATGAACTACTGAACGTGTTAAGTAAACAATGAAAAGAAAGACTTTCTGATTGGGAGAGTAAATATCTAAGAACAATATAAAAAGAATATGATAAAACAATTATCAAGAGTATTCATTTCATAATACACCTAAAATTCCCTTCCTTAGTAGCTCTGCACAGATCTGATCCAAGAAAAATATACTTTACTATACACAAGCTATTCCTTTCTTTCTGCCTCTTTTTATAATGAAATTTATCTCATGCTTCCCCCCCCAAGTCCTGTAATAATCTAAATAATTATACTATCCAAGAAAAAACTGAATTGCTTGACTTCTAAACCAGAAATTCAAATACAAGACATTGCTCAAGACAATAAAATCCAGTTTTTTAAAACGTTAAATTCAAGGGCAACTTGATTTTCTGTACAATGAACCTAGCAAAAGACTCATATATACATATGATATGCACACACATATGTATGCTTATCACAGATGCTTTAGAAATATTAATTGACTTAAGAAAAAGAACCAGAATCAACCTCAAGTACAAGTATTAATAACTCTTCATCAGAAAAATATCCAAAATTATCCTACAACATTTTGCTGTAAAGACCACTGAAAGCATATTAAAAGTCCCTTGTTGGCGCCTATAAATATACACATATACCTTATAACAAAAATAAAAAGATTTTAAAAATTTTTTTATTTATATAAATTCATTTATAAGAAAGAAGCCACTTCACCACAACTCATTTGAGAACTCTCTCTGCTTTACTTAACAATTTGCTCTTATAAAAGGCCAAGGGATTTATCTCAGGTTTCATACTGGAAAACTGCCAAGTGAGACCTCAAGCTGTTCCTCAAACACCTCAAAACAAAAGACAACCATTTTCATGTATAACCAGACAAATGAGAAGTTGTACTCCATTTATGTATGAAGTGTCAAAATGCATTCTACTATCATGTATAACTAATTAGAACAAATTTTTTAAAGAGACAACCATCTTCTATTTAGATAAGTAGTATTGTAACAGCAGCAAGTACTGGAGCTCTTCCAAATGCAAAAACTACATAGAAATAAGATAAAAATAGGATTTCTTTCATTTCTCAAAATCCAAAACAGAACTTTGTTAAAAAAGGGTTTTAAAAGGCTCTTCTTTAAACCATATTCCAGAATCAAGTATTTTAATTCATAAAGTAGGATATTTTCATCAATTTACACAGCTCAAAATAAGAATAGTAGTACAGGATAAACAGTTTCAAATACCAGAAACCAAATTTAACTTTTTGAGGGAAGGATCAAACAGGAGGTACAAAAGCTGAAAACATGCACCTGCTGTGGCACTGCCAGTTGTTTGAGAGCTTTCCCATCAGCTGCCCATCGCTCTTCCAGGCGGATGCCCAGTGTGAAAGTGGATATCCAGTTCCAGTATAATTGTTTGCACATCACCACAAGTAAGAACGTGTAGAGAAGCAGACCTGTAGCAGACTCCCCCTCTATCCACCTATCTTCACCTTTGTGCTGTGAAATGCTCTGGCACATCTGCTCATGCGTGTGTCCTCCACCACTCCCAATTCCCTCATGCAAACCTCCAGAGCAAAAGGGTTTCCATTCACTAAGGTTTAGAAGTTAATAAGGCTCTACACAGGGAGGAAGCAAATGCTGCATCTAAACCACTCATTAACCCAGTCCCTGCTAAAATCAAATTGTCACATATGAAATTACTACAAGATCATCTTTGAGAGGATATTTTAAAATTTCAGCCAAAATACTCTTATATTAAGCAACTTTCTAAAGTGCATATATCTAGTATAATCAAGAGCACAAAATATATATTCATAAATTTTTAATCAAGTTCTATCATTTCATGACCTTCTCATTTGAATATGCCATATTCTTTGAAAGATGACATATATCCTGGGCCAGAATTGATCTTTTAATCTAAAATAACTAAAGAGAACATCAGATGCACTAGTAATTGTCTGTAACCAAAGAAAACTCTAAACATATCTATTTCTAAATAATGAAACTTTTATTACTAGCAGTTTATAAGTAGAGATTATTCTTCTACAAAAACTCAGCTTCCATTAAATGGCTTATCTAGGGGCTGCTGGGGTTGTGGCTCAGCAGTAGCACACTTGCCTAGCATGTGTGAGGCACTGGGTTCAATCTTTGACACCACATAAAAAAAAACAAGCAAACAAATAAAAAAGATATTGTGTCCATTTATAACTAAAAATATTTTTTAAATGGCTTATCTAAGCCCAATTTTTAATACAGCCTGCTCCCACAGTACTCTGGATCTGATATAAACAACAAATTTACAATTTATGTAAATATTGCCCTGTACCCTTCCCCTGTCTCTCCACTCACACAGCTCTCCCTAGACCTACAGTCCCTTTCCACTCCCTAAGGGAGTGACATTTTGAAGTGAGAATAAAGGGTGGGACTGTTCCCTTATCAACATAAGATGAAAACATGGAGAGAAGAAATGGCTTTCTGGTATTTGAATTCGTTTCCTATAGAAATATTATAATAAGCAACCTCATTCATTAGGGTTAAAAGTTTACATGATGAAAGAGGTATGTAAGAATGAGTTCACATGCTCCAAACTAGAGAGAACACAAACTAAAGGAAAGGAGAATCAGCATTCATGGAACACCTACGGTGCCATATTCTGAGCTTCTACTGTTGCCTCACTTAATCCCCACAATCCATTCCTCAAAACAGGGGAAAGCCAACCCACTTTACAGATGGAAAAAACAAGGCTCAGAGAGATTAAGGAGGCAAAAAACACCAGGGTAAGAACAGTAAGAATGAAGCATAAAGACCTTTCATGGTTAGAAGTGAGGGAAACAGAGTTAGCACTCAATTGTTTTTAATTCCAAAATCTGTGTGCATTATGTTTTTTAAAAATAAGAACTCGGGCTGGGGATGTGGCTCAAGCGGTAGAGCGCTCGCCTGGCATACGTGCGGCCCGGGTTCGATCCTCAGCACCACATACAAACAAAGATGTTATGTCTGCCGAAAACTAAAAAATATTAAAAAATTCTCTCTCTCTCTCTAAAAAAAAAAAAAAATAAGAACTCAGTTTTCCAAAGACAGGAAGCTACAAACCTACAACCTCTCATCTAGAATGTTTTAGAATTCTGCATTTTTCTGATTTTAGAGAAGTATTTGAAGTATTTAAAGTATATACACTTATACTAAAATCAATAGCCCAGGCAGATTTGGAGCAACACTCTATAATCAGACACATTAATATTTCTTCAGCAAAATACATGAGTATTCACAATAACTAGAGTATATAAAGGACTTAAACAGTCTCCTATCAGTTCAGATCATGTTTTGCCAATAACTGAGTTTAAGTAAAGTAAGACTTACTGTAGAATGGGTTAATTTAACAAAACAAAACAAAAACAAACAAACATTTTTTTCCCTTAGTCAGGTGTGGTTGTAGTGCACCTAAAGTCCCAACAGTTCAAGAGTAGATGGTAGGATTCCAAGTTGGAGGCCAGCCTGAACAAGTTAACAAGAGCTATGGTATAGAGTGCTTGCACACAGGTGCAAGGCCCTGGCCTAGGTTCAATCCCCAGTACTGGGTGTAAAAAAACAGAAAATTTTTTTGTCTCATCCTTCCAAGAAGATGTATAGATGGATATAAGCATTTGAAAAGACATTCATCATCACTAAACATTAGGAAAATAAAAATCACAATATGATACCTAATTCACATCCACTAGGATGGTCATCATTTTGAAAAATGAACAAAAACCACCAGAAAATAACCAGTTTGGTAAGGATGTAGAGAAATTAGAACCCTGTCCCTCTGCTGGTGGACATCTAAAATTAGACAGAATACCATGTGACACAGAAAGTCCACTTACCCCCTAGAATTGAAAGCAGGTACTCAAACAGATATTTGTATACCAATGCTCATAGTAACGCTATGAGTGCAAACAAACCAGGGGTTCATTAACAGATAAACAGATAAACAAAATGTGGTATATATCTACAATGGAGTATTTTTCAGCCTTAAGGAAGACACCTCTGCTTAACAACATTATGCTAGGTGAATTAAGCCAGATACATAAGGACAAAGATTATTTAAATCCACTTATATAAGGCAACTAGAGTAGTCAAATTAAAAAAGACAGAAAATAGAACCAGTAGTTGCCAAGAGTCAGGGAGGGTATATACTGATAAATACGAAAAAGTCCTGGATGATATTATAGGTGTATAACAACATATACATATTTAATGCAATTGAACAAGACACTCAAAAAATGGCTAAAATGGTGAATTTTATATTATGTGTATTTTACCACAATTTTTTTAAAGCTTTCTAGGATTCTTTGGATTTCAGAATTGTGGGTACAGGGTTTGGCCTATCTAAAGAGTGATATGATACTCAACTAAGCCATAAATGCTCATAGACTCTGAATTATTTCCCATCGCTCTCTTCTGGTAAACCTTTTTTCTACACTCAGACATCCCCTTTCCATCTTTGCTAGTTCTTTTACCAATAAATATTGACAAAATCTAAGATTCTGTTCCCAGCCCTCTCATCTTGTTCCACCCTCTCCCACAGGACCTATAATCCAGTGATCCTACAAGCTTTCATTCTCCTCATGCCCTTCTTTTTTTTATCCAACCTAGAGTCTAACATCTTTATTGTAACTCACATCTTTGCATATATTCATAATGTCCTGCCTCTTTCCTGATTAAACATCAAAACCAAACCCTCGTTAAATTCAATTCTCCCCATTATCTGTCATCCTCAAATTTTGAACATAGTTGGAGAAAAGCACAGAATCATCCTAACTAGTCTCAACTTATAAATCATAATCATTAACCTCAAAAGGGCACATAACGCTTTAGTACCCCATTTATTCTCCCATTCTCCTAAAAGATAATTTCATATTTCTTTCTGTC